CTCCCGCCCCCGGGGCCGCCCCTCCGCCCGCCCCGCCCGACGGCGCGACGATTGCCCGCTGCTCGGGACCCCCGCACCGCTCCCCCCGGCTTCAGCTGGGGCAGCCGCTCTTTGCCGGGTGGCGGCAGAGACCGGGACCGGTACAAATCCGAGGGGACCGCAAAGCGGACCGGGCCGGCTGCCGGTTCCGCTGCCCGCGGCCTTAGGCAGCGGCCCCACGGGTGTCCCCGCCCGCCGCCCGCCCACGCGAGAGGCGCGGCAAAGATGGGCTCCTCCGGCAGCCCCGACGTGAGCTGCCGGTCCAGGAGGCGCGGGCAGAACACGGGGCGCTGCGCGGGCGGCTGCCCCGCCTCAGCCGGCCGTGGGGTGCTGGCATCACGGGAACCAACGGCAGGTCCGCGGGCAGGGCGCGCAGCGGCGACCACTACCGCCAGCACGGGGATGGGCAGYGGGCGGCGGGACTGACAGCGGGTCCACCCCCGCTACCAGGACCGCGGACAGCGGCTGTGCCTCTCGATCAGCACCGGGGACAGCGGCAAGGCCGCCCTGCCCTCCTCCTTCCCTGCCTGCCCCCCGCCCTCCGTGCCCGGCCCTCCTGCCCTGCCCCGCCAGTGGCTCATAAAGCCCGAGGCAATACCGAGCGCSGGAGCACCATGTTCCCGCCGGGCGTCGCGCTGCAGGAACCCTGCTTCCTGCCCCCCGCACCTGCCTCCGCCCAGCCSTGCAAGGTCAGAGCTCGGGCATTCCCAGTCCCCTCGCCCCCGGGCCGTCCCGTCTGCCGGCAGACCCTCCGGTCCCTCACGGAGAMGCGCCGCCGCGCTCGCACCAACGAGAGCCGAAGCTCGCGGTTGGTGAGGCCGTCAGTGCCACGGCTCCCGGCACSTCCGTGTCTCCCGGGCCCGGATCCTGGACCTCCTCTGGACCCTGCGTGTGCTCCACTGCGAGCTTTCACTGCCTGCTCGGGACTGTCACCACCACCGAACCCAAAATCCCTGGACGCTCCGGGGATCTGTGTCCCAATCGGAGAGAACCGACGGCRCCAGAAACGCGGGAGGCGGCCGGGCTGAGAGGGGGTGCTGCACRTGCCGACCCGAAAACCCTGGCTCCAACGAGTCCCCACGCTGACAGAGCACTCCCGGGGCGGCGGAGGGACCCCAGTCCCGGTGGGGTCACACGACTCGGCGGGTATCGCCGGAGCCGCCCCCCAGCCCCGGTTCCCCGCGGCCCCGGCGCTCCTCCCCGCGCGGGGGCGCGGCGCGCTGTGCCCGCCAATGGTGCGGCGGGGCGGGACCGGGGCGCGGCGGGCGTGCCTGGGGAGCGGCGGGGCGGGACCGAGAGCGGCGGTGCTGCAGCGCCGCTGCGGGCGGGGCGCCGGTGCCGCCATGTCGGAGCCGGGGGCCGCGGGCCCGAGCCCGGCCGCTATCCAGGTGTCCAGGTACGGCGCCGCCGCGGCCGGGGGCTCGGGCAAGGCTGGGCAGGGCAGGGCTGGACAGGGAGGCGGGCGCTCTCGAGGCCGCGGGCGGACGCCGGTCTGCAGCCGAAATGATGCCCGCCCTTCTGCCGGCATCAGCGGCGCCGCCCGTGTTAGTCATGCTGCCGGTTACACCCGCCACGGGCAGAGCGCAGCAGCGCCGCGCCCGTGCTCCGTGCTGCGGGAGCTGGGAGCGCCTGTGTTGCCGCGGCTCTCGGACACTGCTGCCCTCAAACAGCAGCTCCTGTCCGAGCCGGCGCGCAGCCGCTGCCTCAGCKCCCCACGGGCCATTATTCGCCGTTGGTAGAAAGCGCTGCCGCTGCCGGGAGGCCGCGTGGAGCGGCGACACGTGCCCGGCTCTGTCTGTGCCGCAGCGGGGCCCGGCGGGGCGCGGCCCCGGTGAGCCGCCGGCTGCCCCGGCAGACGCGCCCTGCTTCCTTCCGCTCCTAGTGGTAATTCGGAGCGGCTTCCATTGCCGCTTACAGGAAGCCGCGTGCGAGCAGCGATGGCCTGGCAGCTCAGCCGGTGGGCGATGCGCTGCCTCCGGGCGGCCGCACCGGGACCGGACAGGGGGCGCGGCAGGGGTTGCGAACTCTCATGTGCCTCCTTCGGCAGGATTATGCGCCCAGACGATGCCAACATCGCGGGAAATGTCCACGGGGGGACCATCCTGAAGATGATCGAGGAGGCAGGAGCCATCATCAGCACCCGCCACTGCAACTCCCAGGCTGGGGTGAGTAGCTTCCGGAGTGCCTGCCAGCCTGTGGCATGATGATTCTTGACCCGCCCCYGCCACATCTCAGAGGCAGCAGGGGTCCCGCAGTGACAGTGTTTGCTCCTGTGTGCAAACCACTGGTGGCTCCGGCTGCAGCTGGGGCAGGGTCCCTGGAGCTGTAAGCATTCTGCTGAAATTGTGGTTTACCAGAAGAAACGTTATTTCTCGTTATTGCTGTTAGCTGTTATTTTAACTTCAAAGAACGGTGAGTCGGGGCATCCCCGGTGTTGGTTACAGATGGGGAAGGAAGCGTGGCCAGTGGCTGATAAGGTGGAGGTTGAAATATCAGAGCCGCACATGGCATGGCTGGTTTGGCTGGTCTTGGGAGCTGACAGCTGTGGTCCCACGTGGCGTGGCTGTGATCAATGTCTTGGCTGTCTCACCGTCCTCAGGAGCCCTGTGTGGCTGCACTGGCACGGGTGGAGCGGACGGACTTCCTCTCGCCGATGTGCATTGGCGAGGTGGCCAACGTCAGTGCTGAGATCACCTACACCTCCAGGCACTCTGTGGAGGTTCAGGTCAACGTCATGTCTGAAAACATTTTAACAGGTGGGTGGCTGCTGGTGGCTGCATTCCAAAACTCGGGGAATAATGGTGTTAAGCTGAGAGCTCGCAGCAGTGACCACATCCTCCGCTCTGTCACTGGCAGCATTCAGCAGAGAGGAGATCTAGCATGTTTATTGACAGGGCCAGGGKTGCAGGGAGGGCTGGTACTGGGAAGGGAGGCCGAGAGGACTCCCTGTGGTTTATGGCTCCATTGTAGTGAATTACAGGAAAATCTGCTGGTAGCTCTTCCTGCCTGATTTTCTGCCTGTGGCTGTCTTTGGCCTGAAAAATTCCCCTTTCCTCCTGTTGCTGTGACAACCAGTTCTGCTTGCTGGGACACCTTCCCAAAAGCATGTTGTCACATCTGCTGCGAGTTAAAGCCTGGCAGAAGCCAGCAGGGCAAGGGGCCACCAATGTCAGTGGCACTGCCCGTGTGTGCCCAGCCCCRAACCGTGGCAGGTACAGCACTGCTGGCTTTGGCACCATCACCTGCTGTACCCTTGTCCTCCAGGAGCAAAGAAGGTGACGAACAAGGCAACACTGTGGTATGTGCCACTGTCCCTGAAGAATGTGAATAAGGTCGTTGAGGTTCCCCCCATCCAGGTAGGACAGCTTGCTTGAGTCCCCCAAAACTGGAACTTGTCCTCTCTGTGGAATGGCACTAACCTGGCCCTGTTGGCACTCCCAGCTGTGCCAGTGGCTTTGCCAACCCCCTTCTTACGAGCCTTCTATTTCAGTATGCAAGAAAGGAGCAGGAGGATGAGGGGAAGAAGCGTTATGAGGAGCAAAAGCTGGATCGGCTGGAAACCAAGCAGAGAAATGGTGACGTGATCTTACCTGTCATCAACCCAGGTAAGGCGGGCAGTGTGTAGCCAGTAYAAATTTCCCAGCAGTAGTAGGAGGCCAAACAGGTCCCCAGGCAACTTCAGCCATCCCCAGGGGATGCTGGAGCTGTAAGTGTGCATTCTGAAACACCGGGGATGGGGTGGAATTTTGGAGCCACAGTGTGTGAATGGAGGGGGAAACTGAGTGGACATCTGTGATGCACTGCAGGGGCTGGTGGGTGAGATCCCTATCCAAAACTCCGTTCCTGGAGTTCCCTATCCAAAACTCCATATGTCCCCTGTGTGCTTGTGTGCAACTAGAGCTGGTTTTGCTCAGGAAGGGGTAAATGCAAATGTTGGGCAAGGGAGGACTCTAGGTTTGSCTGTGGTCTTCAGGCAGAGGTGGAGAGGTGGCACATGGGGAATGCTGGGGTTATGATGGGGAATGACAGTTGCTCAAATGCTTTTTTCCCCTCTGTCCCCCTGCTCACAGACAGGCAGACAAAAGGTAAGGCTTGRTGGGCACTGCTGCATGGGTGGTCACCCTGAGTGGGATTTGGGTGGTTTTCCCTCCTCTGAGCTCCTTTAACATCTCTCATTAGATAGAAAACACAGCCACTTCTGAGAGAGGATTTCCTCTGCTGGGAGTTGGGGAGTGTGACTTCTGTCACCTGGACGTTGTGGTGGGACAGGGGACACCAATATATGCCAGGGTTGGGGGCATGGGGGTGGAAGTCTTCCCACCAAGGGGAAATCAGGGCCTCTGTGCAGCCGGGTCTGGGAGGTTCAGCTGAGGGGGGAAGCAGACAGCCACATGCCCCAGTTCACTCCTGTTTGCTGTCATGCTCTTTGAAAGCTTGAACAGAAAGAAATGAGCTGAGCTAGAATAAAGGGGATGGATGGGGATTAAAGGGAGGCAGCGGCCCGTCAGGTGGTGAACAGTCTCTGCTCTTGGAACTTCTCCAGCCTGGTGCAATCACTGATTTCAACATAGTTCGGCTTTGCACAAGCCAGCCCCATGTTTTCTTCCTTTGGACAACTTAAGACAGGGGTGTACGGTGGTGTATGGGTGCCAGCCGAGCAGCTTTCACCTCACTTTGCTCCCTAAGCAGAGCCGCACACCGTCAGCTACAGCCAGTCCAGCCTGATCCACCTGGTGGGGCCGTCAGACTGCACGCTGCTGGGCTTTGTGCACGGAGGTGAGTGAGCACTGCCCTCCTGCACAGMCACTGGGTAGCATGTCCATGGCTTTTCCCTTGAGCAGAGTGTGGTTGGAGAGTGTGTTTTTAGTGGGTTCTACCTCTGAAGGCAGACAGGCCCATTTACACTGACTGTCGGGGGCAGAGTTGCTTCAGCTGAGATTAAAGCTTTGTCTTTTTCTGTGCCCTAAAAACTCATATACCGGAACTGTAAATCCTAGAGTGTTGTCATCGCCTCTGAGATTGCAAATCCCRGAGTACAAACACCCAGCGTGTGACTGCAATTAGCTGAAATAATTTCCTCTCGGCTGGCAGCACTCATCACCTGCAGGGCTGGCATGTGTGTTTACTGAGGGCTGGGACAACACATACCTGATCATGTCCTTAAAAAAACAAACCCAAYGTGCCTCAGAGCTGTTTGGAGGTGTCTGGGATTGATTGTGCCTTGCAAGTTTGCACAGAGAAATTTGGGAGAGACAGACCTGACCTAGTTCTTAATCACAGGTCTGTGAGGATGTTGCCCTGGTATTGACAGGAGTCTTTGTGCTGGTACTGGGATTTCCAGAAGCTGGGACTCAGTCTCCAGTCCAATTCCTCAGTGTAGCTTTGGCCATGCAAAACTACCATACTGACGTTTGCATGGTTTTCCCCAAATCCCACTGACTTCCCTCAGACAGGACACTCTGCTTTCCCTACAGGCGTCACCATGAAGCTCATGGATGAGGTTGCTGGGATTGTGGCGGCCCGCCACTGCAAGACCAACATTGTCACTGCCTCGGTGGATGCCATCAACTTCCACGAGAAGATCAAAAAAGGTACCAAGGGTGRTGGCAGGCACTGTGATCTCCCTGGCTCCCTTGGGTGCATGCTCAGGACATGCTGGCAGAGAAATTTAGTCCCTGTTAGATTTGTCCCGTGCTCTGCGTAAGACACAGCTTGAGCATAAAACATACAGGACCCCTTGCTCCCTTCACCAGCCCCTCTCTGCTTCACAGGCTGTGTCATCACCGTCTCAGGACGCATGACATTCACAAGCAATAAATCCATGGAAATAGAAGTCTTTGTGGATGCTGACCCRTTTGTGGATGAGCCTCGGGAGCGGTACCGTGCCGTCAGCGCCTTCTTCACCTATGTGTCCCTGAGCAAGGAGGGGAAGCCCCTGCCCGTTCCGCAGCTGCTGGTAAGAGCTTTTCTCCCTGACTGGAGCMAGCAGGGCCATGGCCTCTTCTGCTTCTCCCAGGGAACAGCCCAGGTGCCCTTTTTGTCCAAGAAATCCACTTCCCCTGCATTGCTCAGCAAAAAAACATGAGCATGAATGAGACTTTCCAGGGCAGGCTGCTGGGATTTTTGTTTGTTTTGCTTGTTTGTTTTTATTTTTTATTTATTTTGAAAATTGCCAATGTGGAGGTTGGGGATTTTCTCCTTTCTCATGGTTGAGAACAGGCTGTGTGCAGGCCTTGCACCAGGGAACCCTGAGTGGCAATGGAGGGTCCCACATCCCTCATCGCTGCTCCCTGTGGTGTCCCCATTGCAGTCCTGCCTATTTTAGCTCCCTTAATCCTGGCAGGGCTTTGCTGACATGGCACTCCTGACTGGGAGTGTTTGTTGGTTAATATTTGATGTGGCACAGATCTCCTGCTCAATGCAGGAGCACACTGGCTGTCACACTGTGTGTTTGAGGCAGGGCAGCTTTTCCCTCACATTTCCACGAGCGGAGGTGTGTTTTCTTCCCACACACACTCACAGCACGCTGACACTGTGGCTTCTTATCCTTTCTGCGTCCGCAGACGGAGACGGAGGAYGAGAAGCGTCGCTTCGAGGAAGGGAAGGGCAGGTACCTGCAAACCAAAGCCAAGCGGCAGGCGCAGATGCAGCAGGCTGCCCAGCAGTGATCTGCCCCGTGCCCTCACTGCCAGCGCCCGCCGAACATCGAATTGTTCCCGTTCGTTTCGTGTCCAGTCCGCGCCAGCCCCGCGCCTCCTCCGCCCGCCCCAGCCCGCTGCCGGCGCCGCTGCTTCGCTGCTGCTGCTGGGCTCAGCGCTGTACACCTCGTGCTTCGGGTGGCTGAAGCTCCCTGAAAGCCCCCAAGGAGTCTTCCCAGGCCCTCGCCATCCCCTTCCAGAGAGCCGTGGTCGCTGTTTGATCCAGTTGGTGACGCTTCCCGCCTGTGTCAGAGCCGGGACAGAGGTTGTGGTGGCTTGAGGGGCGTGTGAGGCCGCGAGTTCTTTGTGCTGCTGTTGTTCAACTTGCTGGTTTGTCCTACCATGCACACCAAAGCTTTCGTACGCGCTGTGTTGCGCTGGGGCCGCACTGAATGTCTCTTGACATCTTTAGGTAGTTTCTCTGTGCACATCTAAATTATTTAAGAAGTCATGTGGCATAAATAAAGTCTGTTTCATTGACTGGAATGAAAGGCTGACACTTTTATTTCAAACAATTGCGCTTTTCCTTCCTCCCCCAGATCCACCCGCGCTCTCCAAGTGGCACCAGGCGCTCCCGACTTTATTTTTAAGGAAGTCTGGCTGTTTAACGGAACTGCCAGAGCAGCTCCTGTTGGAATGAGTTTAATCCCTGGTTTGGGATATTAAACAATAAACCTGACAGGAGGCTGTAGTGAGGTGGGGGCTGGCCTTTTCTGCTGTGCCTACAGTGAGAAGTCAGGGGGGTAATGAGTGAGTAGAAATTCAGAATGAGATAGGAGAAAATGTTTTCCCTGTTCGGGTAGTCGGGCAGGAGGAAGGTGGTGGGATCACCATGCCTGGGGATGCTCAAAACCATTTGCGTCTGGTGCACATTGACCGAGCTCAACACGGCCCGACCCGGCCCCCTCAGCCCCGGCCCCCTCAGCCCCGGCCCGRGCCCGCCCCTCAGCCGCSGGAACTCTCGCGAGAATAGCGCCGATCTGCTGCCGCTGCCGCGTTTGCGCGGGGCGGGGCTCTCGCGAGACCGGCGGGGCCGTTTCCCGGGCGACGCGGGCGGGGCAGGGCCGCCATGATGGCGGCGGCGGCGGCGGCGCGGAGGGGGCGGCTGGGCCGGGAGGGCCGCGCCAGCCTTTGCTCCTTCCTGCTCGGCGCCTCGGTGGCGGCCCTGCCGCTTCTGCTCGGCTCGTCCCCTGCGCTGCTAGCCACTCCCGGCCTGCGCGGCCGCCTGGCTCTCGCTCTGCACGTGGCGGGCGTGAACGCGGCGCTGCTGCTCCTCTACCCGCGGCCGCTCTACAAGGTACGGGGGTGGCGGCGGCGGGCGGGGGCGTGGAGTGCGGCTGTGGAGGGTCCTGTCCCGGCTGGAGTGCGGCCGTCGGGATACCCCGGGCCCGGGGAGCAGCTGCGGCAGCGCGTTCTCCCCTCCCTGTGCTTGCAGATCGCCGTCCGGGCCTGTTTCCTGGGCTTCGCCTTCGGCTGCGGGCTGCTGTTGAGCGCCGGCCGCTCCGCCTGGCGCCACTTCGGATGGTAAGGGCGGGCCCTGGACGGGCAGTGTCTCCGACCGGGTCGGGCGGTGCCCCCGACCCTCCTAAACGTGCCCTCCCTCCCTCCCGCCGCAGGTACATGTGCTCCCTCTCCCTCTTTCACTACTCGGAGTATCTGGTGACAGCCATCAACAACCCGCGCAGCCTTTCGCTGGACTCCTTCCTACTCAACCACAGCTTTGAGTACAATCTGGCTGCCCTCTCCTCCTGGGTGGAGTTCACGCTGGAGAAGCTCTTCTTCCCAGGTCGGCCACCCTGTCCCTCCCTGAGTCTGCACACGTGGCTCGCCTGGGGTCCATCTGTCTGGTAGCAAAGTGCAGGTGACCCTCAGCTTGCTGCCCCGTGACAGCCCTGCAGCAGCTTTGCTATGGTCATAATCCCTCTGTGCTCAAAGCCTCTCGGGYTGGATCTCGAGAGGGCAGGTGAACTCCCCCTCCCTCACTCTGACATGCCAGGCCAGGGGATCTTCAGCCCTTTCCTGCTTTAGTGCTACARGAATGATGCATCAGGTACACCCAGGTGTTGCCTTTTGATATGAATAAAATCAAGTTATCAAAATCTGTTGCTGTTAGCCCAGTCTGGGGCAAACTCTTCTGTTTGTTCTTGGGAGAGGAAAGCTGTTGTTTTATAGTGGCTTGAGCATGTCCTTGGCTGTGCTTTRTGTTGGCTTTGCTCAGTCCCTACAGCTGGGGGACTAATGGGCTAATCCGTGCTAACACCAGGCAGGGGTTGCTGGTTTTATCTGTTCAGTGCAGGATGGCAGCACATGGCTGCGGCTGTCACGCATTTTGCTTTGAGATGGGGACCAAAGCCCGCTTACCGAGCAGCCCCCTGCACCCCCTCGAGACCTGTGCAAACCTGTTGTGCCCCTCCCTGTCCATGCAGAACTGAAGCAGATCACCTGGCTGAGCACCGTGGGGCTGCTGATGGTGATCTTCGGGGACTGCCTGAGGAAGGCGGCCATGCTTACGGCCGGCTCCAACTTCAACCACATCGTTCAGAATGAGAAATCTGACACCCACACTTTGGTGACAAGTGGGGTGTACGGGTGGTTCCGGCACCCGTCCTACGTGGGATGGTTTTACTGGAGTATTGGAACACAGGTACTGTATCCAACTTGCTCAGATACTTTGGTGTCACAGCCTCGGTCTTTGCTCTGAATGCTGCCCACTCTGTGATGGGGRACAGACAGCATTCTGTGGCATAGGTGACCTGGTCATGGATTCTGCTGCCTCCCACTGGCACACAGGGAATCAGGAATCCCTGAGCATTCTGCCCCATGTGACCTTTGGGAAGACCCTGTTGCCTTAATTTTCTCTGTGCAGTGAGGAGGGGTAGTGAAGCTGAGATTTCAGCCAAAACCCTCCCTGAGGCTTGGGGTGTGATTTGCTGCTGCTCTAAAGCTGGTGTGCAGATTTTTCTGTGTCCCTGTGGTCAAAATGCCTTCCATGAGTGSTCAGACTCAACCTGGCTCTGCCAARCMCCAGTCCTGTGCTGGAGGGCAAGRAAACTCCCTGACCAGAGGGTCAGCTCTGGCCAGCTGTAGGTGAGCTGTGGCTCAGTGCTGCTGTAGCTGTGTGTTCTTCTGGCTGGGGGTTGGCATTGGATTGTATTTCTCTGGAGAGAGTCCATAAAAGTGGCACATGGAGCACTGGAGAGCTGTGGCAGTGGAGCTAGTGCTGCCTGTGTGCTGCTTTCTTCATTCTGGGGAGAAATCAGTGCTTAAGAAGTTTCACTGGATGTGTTGGGATCTTTTCTTTTTCTGTGTCCATATTACTGGAGGGAAAGGAGCTGTGGGCAGCCTTGGGTTCTTGAGGGGATGCTCACCAGCAGCATCTGTTGCAGGTGTTGCTCTGCAATCCCATCTGCGTGGTGGGCTACGCACTGGCGTCCTGGCGCTTCTTCAGGGAGCGGATCGAGGAGGAGGAGATCACACTCATTCACTTCTTCGGAGAAGAGTACCTGGAGTATAAAAGGAAGGTGCCATCGGGTCTCCCTTTTATTAAAGGAGTAAAATTGGAACTGTAACATGGGCAGAAACCAGACTGGCTGAGCAAACGCCCAGCTCCTGCTGTGCCTGGTGCCTGTGGGGCACCAGCATCGAGAGGTGCCTGTTGGTATTTCCCGGCCACCCAGGAGGAGCTGGTGGAGGGCTGCAGCGTTGGGCGGCCTGCCGGGTCACTTGCAGATCAGAAGCTCGTCCCTCCTCCTTGAGATCAGTCCTTCGTTGCACATTCAGGGATCTTCCAGATAACTTAGCCTGTAGCGACCCTAAAGAGAATGAATCCTCCTGCCTGCAGCAGCTGAATTGTCTTGGAACGCCTCTGGAACCGATTCTACCAGGAAACAGCACTGCCATCCTGGCCCTGGGCAGGGAAGGTGCTGGGCAGCAGATTGTTCCTCTGGCATAATTCGATTTTAAAGCTTTCTGACCTCGTGAGCCTGGTGACATGGCTTTAATCTCCATGTGCCCAACTCCTTGAGCTGGCACTGGGGCAACTGTGGGAGCAGCCCCCAGCTCTGCCTGCTCTTGAAGCGCCAGAGTGCCGTCAGCATGGCACTGCTCAGCTCTCTCTAGGCCTTGGGGTCTGCAGGGAGGGTTCTGCTGCTTGCCTTGTGCACTGGATCTGAGCACCTCYGGGCCCACTCTGCCTCCCTTGGATGCTGCTGCAGGTGCAGTGTCACTGTTCCAGCTGCTGCCTCCCACTGCCACCTCTGTTCCTTCTTCCTGCTTCCAAATCGCGCTGCTTCCTAGCCTGCCAGGCTGCCTCCATCTTGCAGAGATCCCAGGATTTTGGTTGTGAAAGAACCACAGCTGCCAGGCTTCCTAAGGGCTTTAGTCCCTGAGATCCTCCCCTGCTCTTTTGGGCAAAAGCTGTGATGTTGRGGTGAGTAGGAGATGCTTCTAGGGAAATCTCCAACCAGGAGAAGAGTTGGGCTAGCTAACGCTCTTTTATAGTGACCATTTGAAAATGGTTCCCACTGAGCTGTGTGGTATTATAATTTTGTAGTTATATACCAAAGAGGTTCACTGTTTTCTTGAGTTCTACATTATTCTTCCTTGCTGGAATGGAAATGAGTTGCTTGTCAGTTCATGCTTGGAGCTTGTGATGTTCCATGGGGAAGGCGCTGCGGTACGGCTCAGGAAGGGGCACTTGGTGAGAATGGCTTGGGTTTTTTCTTTTTTTATAAAAACAAACATGAGAAAACATTGTCAACTTCTGTCTGGTTATTTGAAGGTCTCTCAAGGTGCTGGTGSCATCATGGAAACAAGAATCCTTTGTAATTTCTGGTGGGTTCTCAGAACGCTCCAGCACTGCATTGAGGCACGATTGTGACTTCGTGACTTGGGCTGTGCAGCCACAGGGATGAGGCTGACCCTAACCCTGACCCTGARCTGATGCAGACCCCCTCCCCTCGGTTTGTTTGGTCACAGAGCACCTGCCTGATGCCCTCGCTGCTGACTTGTCCTTTGCTGAGCAGGGTTTTGGCTTGGGAGAAAAGAACAAAGGTGAAAACACACTTATTTGGAGAGTGCTGATCTGTGCTGGGCGCTTGGCTCCCCCTTGGACTGTTTGTGTCTCAGGGAAGTTTGATCTGATCTTGCAGCCGGTGGTGCCTCGGGGCAGGTTAATCTATAACTAATTTTTTTGTAACAATAACAGYAATGTTCCTGCTGTTCCCTTGTTCAAAGGAACTTTGAAACAAACAACTGTCACTGGGGTTTGATATGCTGACAACAGAAACAAAGCTTCATTCCCATTTGTTCCTCCTAGTAAATGCACCTCTCTCTTAATTTCCTAAGTGCCAGTTCCTGCTGTGCAGGTTCTGTCCAAGTGGGATGCATTGGCACCAAAAGAAAGGGATAAATTTCATCTTGAGCAAAACCTTCAGTGTCTCGGCGCTGTTTAGATGAGCAGCCTCCCTTCCTTTTCCCAAATCCT